AGGCATCCACTTGATAGTTTCGGACACGGTTTGGGACATCGCAATGGCAACCCTATTGACGCAACCTCATTTCTTCAGTTCGGCGTAAGGGTACGGAACAGGATCGCCCTAGGAAGGATAAATGTCAGCAGAGAAGCCAGGTATCTGAGCAAGGTCAACCCCCACCTTTCGCAAGTGAATCTTGGTCTTCCTCCTTGTGCCTTGGTGCTCGACGAAGACTTCCCGTGTATGCTCTGCCTTGAACTTGCGTACAAAGCGTGGGTCCCAGAGCTCACTAGCTACGCCTAGATCTTTGCAACACCGCATCATTGCGTTGGATTTACAGCCTTCGACAGCGGTTGGTATACCCTCTTTTGAGAAGTAATCTTGCTCCCCGCGCGCAATCGAAACCAGTCTGCCCGCGAGTTAGCCTATATGTAATGCTCGTTCAAGTCCACTCACCTTCCGTGCGCCAGCAATGCATATTCTCGCGTCACAGACTTCTCCGTGACAATTGTCTCGCCTCTTGGAGCCAATCCCCAGCCGCCAGGGCCAAAGGCCTTGTTCAGAATCCGTCTATATTTGATCTCGGGGAGATAAATGATGCCATCCGGCTTGATCTCAATGTCCTCAGGAGCTATAGGCGCCTGCAGTGTATCCGCAGCCTCTTTGGAGAATGGTTCCACGGAGAGCCCGTGAAAAGACCTTGTCCAATCAACCCGTGAGGGGTCATCTTCTTGTAAAGTCAACGGCTGGTCTTCAAGGTTGTCGAGAGAATGGCGCTTAGGGTCCGCCGGCGTCGCTTGAGGAGGTGATGTTGTCTTTGATTGCGGGTCTGTGGCTGCTGCGGCCCCAGTCAGTCGAGCTGAAGATTTTGTGAAGATAGTACGCGGCAGGGTGGTACGCAGGGACCGAGAAGTCGATAGCGCAGTCTCTGGAAACGAGCAGCAGAGGGTGATCAACGAATTCGAGAGCCGGATCGACGCAGATGCACTCAAAGCTTTGAGAGGCAATCGAGTAACTGGCGACATTTCCTGGATCTGCGGCGGCAGAAGGGGAGTAAATCTACCAAAGTTCTCAAATGAATATATCTACAGCAACGACTGCTGATGAGCCGGCGCTGGCAAAAGAAGACAACTTATATTACAGAGGAGAAAGAGAGAGAATGTGGATGAAATACTCGGTACTTATTGCGAAGACGAGATATGAAGGATGAGAGAGCAGAAGCCAGTTCCTGAGTAGGGAGTGGGTGAAGCTCCAATGCCTCCTGTATTTTTTTTGGAGGCGCGTTTTCGAACGTGAACGCCCAACCTCGTGACCCTGGCCACCGTCTGCCACACACCACATGGATGCAGCATCTTTCCCAGTGGTATTCTCAAAGCCCCTTTTCGGTCGCGGACACGTCCTTGCTTTGAGTACGCTCCTCGTTTCCTTTACGCTTCCAACACTGCCTGAAAGCCTCCATCTAATATATATATATATATATATATAGTCAGCTTGGTGATCTTTGGACAAGTGCTCCGCCGTCTGGACGCCGAGGACCTACGAGGACGAACAGACCCAGAGCGGAAAAATCTTTCACGAAGTGATTGAGGTTGGGGTTCAACACATACTTCGGCCTTGCAAGCTCTCCAGTCTTTCTTCTCAAAGTAGCAATCGTTCATGCGCAGTTGCTCCTCTGTCTCTTCCTCAGATCTGCCTTTCCCGCAGAGGAGCTTAAACTTACCAGAACAGCCGGTGCTGAAAATTCGTTGGTCCCTGTCAATCAAAACGTCGCATCAGCCTGGATCAATATCATAATTTGACTCCCAAGGAGACTTACCATTCGTCAAGTTCATCTTCAGCGGCCTCAGGCTGAACTAAGCTGTCCTGTTTCGACATTCTGCTATTTCAGGAGTCGTTCTCAGGTGGATAAAGACAAAAATCCCACGTCTCAAAGACACCACAGTAGCCAGGAGGGTCGTCTGACAGTTCTTGCCGTACCGCGCCACTTACCACCACTCCCCAAGAATTTGTCCGCCAGGGCCAACCATGTCCAAACGAATGAACATCCTCGTTTACTCTGGTGCGCTCACTCAAGATGCGTGGAGGAGTAATAAGAATCTAATGCTATCTTCAGGAAATGGCAGCACCGTCGAATCAGTCCGGCATTGTCTCTACACTCTTCGGAGGCTCCTGGCTCCGCATTACGCTGTCATCCCGGTTACAGGTGACATGCTTATCAAAGAGCCTTGGACAGCAAGCTGTGCTGCTGTAGTCTTTCCGGGCGGCGCTGATCAGGGCTACTGCAAGACACTCAATGGTGAGGGCAACAGGCGCATTCGACAATTTGTCGAGCGCGGTGGACTTTACATTGGATTCTGCGCCGGTGGCTACTATGGCAGTAAAAGATGCGAATTCGAGGTAGGAAACAAGGTCTTGGAAGTGGTCGGGGACAGGGAGCTTGCTTTCTACCCCGGCACAGCTCGAGGGTGTGCTTTCCCAGGCTTTGTTTACCATAGTGAAAAGGGGGCTCGGGCGGCCGAGTTGAAAGTGGACAAGACTACCCTGTCTGCAGGAGCCGCCCCGGACGTTTTCAAGTCCTATTACAATGGCGGCGGCGTTTTCGTCGACGCGCCCAAGTATAAAGAGCAGGGCGTCGAAATCCTTGCAAGCTATGCCGATCCTCTGGCGGTCGATGCTGGTGAAGGCGCAGCTGCCATCGTCTATTGCAAAGTTGGCCAAGGCGCAGCATTACTGACCGGTCCACATCCAGAGTTTGTCTTCCTAGGAAAGCCAGCGGACAACTGGTCACTGACGAAGCCTAGGTTTGCTCCAGCCAACCTCGAGCCAAAACCAGATGTTCCTGGATTCGCGGACGTCATCAAAGCTCTGGCCGAAGACGAGAAGCATAGGATGGACTTCATCAAAGCGTGTCTGACGAAACTTGGTCTTACTGTGAGCGGGGAGCAAAATGTACCCTCCCTCTCCTATATGCATCTGTCCTCATCCGACCCCGCAGACACCGCTGGTGTCATTTCGTCCCTGAGCCATCTCACCGAGAAGGACGAACATGGAGATGAGTTTCTCAAGGATGACAATGATACCTTTCAAATTTTGAAACCATCCGTCTGGAAAATGGTTGACTTGACCAAAGCATTATACGCGGAGCCAGAATCAAAGGAATCTGCTGACCAAAAGGATGGCAGCGCCGACCGGATAGTCGACTATAACACGGTGACCAAGAAGATCATTGTGCATGAAGATGATCATCCTCAACCAAGATCAACTCCGTATTTTAATCATTCGGCTTTCTATTCGAACCTTCACAATTACCAGTCTCAAACACATGGCGCCGTGAATTTTGGTGCTCACCTGCTGTACGGTGAAGTCGTGACCTCGACCAACACATTACTCGAGAAAAACACGAGGCTACTTCGAGTCCTTCCCCAAGGGTTCACGGCAACAGCGACCGTTCAAGTTGCAGGTCGGGGCAGAGGATCCAACGTCTGGGTATCACCGGCAGGAAGTTTAATGTTTAGTACCGTCATTCGACATCCGATGGCGCAAATGCAGTCTGCTCCAGTCGTCTTCGTCCAGTACCTGGCGGCAATGGCGATTGTCAACGGTATTAAAACCTATGACGGCGCTCTCTACAAGGACATGCCAGTCAAGCTCAAGTGGCCCAATGATATTTTTGCTCTCGATCCAGCAAAGGCAAAAGAGAATGGTGGTGATAGGAACGAAAATTATACTAAAATTGGAGGCATCCTGGTCAACAGCCACTACAACAGCAAGGAGTACATCGCCGTTTGTGGGATTGGATTGAACACTTCAAACGTTGCGCCAACAACGTCGTTAAATCAACTCATTCAATTCCTTCCGCACAAAGTAACCCCATTCACGCTGGAAAAGCTGCTGGCTAGAATATTGACCGTGTTTGATGACCTGTATGCTCGATTCTTAGTGACGGGCTTCGACGAGGTCATGGAGCAGATGTACTACCGACATTGGCTTCACATGGATCAGATTGTTACACTTGAAGCTGAAGGCGGCCAACGTGCAAGAATAAAAGGTATCACCAGGGATTATGGGCTATTGATTGCAGAAGAACTTGGATGGGAAGACCGTGAGACCGGTAGGAGATGGACGTTGCAGAGCGACGCCAATAGTTTCGACTTTTTCAAAGGTCTCGTAAAGGTAAGTGTTCTGGCGTGTCGAAGACCACCCGAGATGTCCTCCGCATGACGGCTCATTTCTTGTTGTCGACACCCCCCTGGAGGATATCTAAAGGCTAATGATTATGCCTCTTCAGAGAAAGATGTGATGCATTCTTGTGACGGACAAGCATGGTCGGAGCTCCTACATTCGCGAGTCGACCATATCCGACAGGCCATGATCCAATAACGCGAGTGTGATGCAAATGGGACTGGGTATGCGAGAAACAGATACTTTGCGTCTGCGGTCCGCGTGTGTGCGAGAGAGGAGGCCCTACGGGTCTCATCCCTCGAGTCACTGCATACTCCTAACCCAGAAATATAACCAGCCAGTGGGCAGTCTGAGATGACAGCAGACAGAATGGCTGAAGCGTGCTCCTGTAGAGGAAGTCGAGAGGCAAGCATTGGAAACCTCGCACGAGGCACACAAGAACGCGATCTATCGTTTCTTCTTAGGATTCTAAATCAGACACGGCTTTGCATGCGCAAGGCGAGGAAGTTGCAATCTATTGACACAGGCCTATGGGATCTATGTCCATGAGTCTCTCGCTCGCTTTCTCACATGTGAACCCGATGGTGTATAGTCTATAGTCCGGTATTTGTGGTTGGGGTCAAAGGGCTTGCTGCGCGAGAAGATACCCCTGCTCAATCGTTCCCACACTAGATAACGGCAACAACGCCAGTTGCAGACACAAGGAAAAATGTTCTCAGCCATTTTTACGGCAGGGGTCCCATCCTTCTCTTCGAGCTTACAGATTTGAGGAGCCATGGACCTTGGAGCAACACCCAACCCCCGACCCCGTGCTGCGCCCATCACGCGTTGATTCAATATTTGACGTCTTGACCAGCCCAGACCGAGCCGGCATTGTTGGCCTTGATCCTCAGCCGGCGCACTCGCTTGATGTCCTCTTCGTTGTCGTGCGTAAGATACCAGGTCCAGACATTAGCGATCCAACTTGCGCCGATCGCGCCGGCACAGACGCCGAAGGATGTCTTGTATCCATTGTACGCGAAGCGCGATTGGAACAGCTGCGGGCCCACGACGCCACCAACCTGGCCGATACAGGGATTGAAATGCCAGCGTGAATGCCGTGCCTGTCGTGCCTACTAGGCTCGCGGATCGCCCTGGTTGGTCGCCAGGTGGTCAGCGAGCGCTTTTTTGGGGGATTGAGAGGGAGGAGAGGGGGGAGGTTGATGTTGTGACGGACTGTGTTTTGGGGGAAAACTTACATGCCCAGAATGGAATGAAATAGACCGAATAGAAGGTGGTCCCGAATATGCAAGCGATGTACGTGGCATACCGGTTCACATCGAAGCACAGGACGAGGAAAAAAGCCAGAGCGGCGGCACAGATGATCATGATGAATTGCGGCCGTGTCAAATATGCTTTGCTCAGGAACCATCCGGCGAATATGATGGACAATACCGTTGCGGCGGCGGGGGGGATGTTGAGCAGTTGGTTCCTGGGCAGGCCGGCAAAACCCAGACTCGTCGTAACGGTGGGCAGCTGCCATTGCAGGCCGTATCCGCCGAGATTCATCAGAATCTGAGAAAGGCAGAAAGAATACGTGCGGGAATCTCTCAGGGACGCCCACACTTCTTTCTTGCTGAATGCCGCGTCATGAGTGCGAGGAGCGTTGTCCGTGAGTCGGAGCTCGAGGTATTCTTGCTCTCGCGGCGTGAGCCACTTCGACGATCGCTTAGACTTGGGATAGTCCGGAAGAACAAGGAATACGACGCCGGCAAAAAGAACGGTGAACAAGCCTTCAAGAAGGTAGACCCTAAGATATTTACACTAGTCAGCTCTCGTGGTGAAGTCGAGGGCAAAAAGAGAGGTCTGAGGCATGGCTTACCATCTCCACGCACTCAACCCGCTCAGACCGTTCATATAAGAAATGCCGTACGCGACCAGCGAGCCCACAATGCCCGCGCAGTTCTGGAACCCAAACATCCACATGATTGGTTTGCCCATTTCATCGCTGCGGTACCAACTGCAGAGTTGAGCTGCGAGACCGGGGAAGAGGCCAGCCTCCATCATTCCCAGGAAAAACCGTGCGGCGTAGAGGCCTTGTTTGTTTTGTACCGCGGCATGACAGGCCAGAACCTACGGAGCAAACCTGTCTGTTAGTAAAATTGTGGTGAACTCGGCAAGAGACCAGGCAGCGGCATGACCTACCAAACCCCAGCTAGCAATGATTCGAGACTGCCACTTTCGAGGCGTCATTTTCTTCAGCAGCAGATTGCTGGGGACTTCGAAGACGATGTAGCTGATCTGGCAACTGTCAATCAGCGATATCACCTCAAACTTGGTATGGATCCTCAGAGTCCCTTGACTTACAAAATAAATGGACTGGACCCAGTTATATTCATCCGCTGTCATATTTAGCTCCTTTAGGACATTGCGTGGTTCCCCGACTTGGAGGACTTTGACGGTCGCGGCATTGGTGTAATCGACATTCTTGAGCATGTACATGAGTCCGATGAGGAGGAGGAATCGTCTGTCCACCTTGCGCATGACCTTGCGGTCCTCCTCGGCCGTGAATGAGGAGAGAAAAGCCTCCCTGTCACTCTCTGCTGCTGATCCAGCCGGAAACTCCACGATAGTTTGCTGAGGCCCAAGGCCGACGTCTCCTTCCTTTGACTCTTTTGATTGGGAGTACAAGCTTGAGGCAGCCATGGTTTGCAATAGATATGGCGATACGCCACACTATCCCAGTGTCCGATGGTTTGAGCTCGAGGGATTTCTCTCGAAGAAACGGCCTCAAAGCGTCTGTGGAGAGTGAAGGTCGGCCGTTAATGGTGGCTCAAGGAAAATTGTAGAGGGAACGATGAATGATAAGTCCAGAAGATTGCTCTGCCAGGAGGCTCCTTGCCAGGACTTGGTGGCGTAGCGTGATAATTCCGAAGCTCGGAGGGGTTGAAGTTCTTGCAGGGTCGTGATTGAACAGGGGAACCAGGAAAGAAGTCTTCTCGCATCTTTTTGCCCCTATCTTGGCCATCCGCAGACGCGATGGCAGTTTTTCCTGCATTCTCGTCTAGGCTGTTCCGGTACCGTGGATCGACGAGGATGGAGAAGGCCGCTTCCAAGCTACGAAGTTGCTTGTCGCAATCTGAAAATTTTTTGTGCTTGATAGAATCGCTAGCGTTGGAAGCAATATGGATGGTGCTGAGAAGTCCCAAGTGAAATGACAAAACGGTCTGTAATTACTGACCTGTATGCCTGTATTGCAAAGCCATGCTTCGTAAACACCGGGACCAACGTTCGCATATGCAACGAGCTCCTTCGCTCCACTGATTGAGGGAGTAGTGGGCATGTGAAGAAAGTGCTTAGGCATGCAGCAGAGGCTGGGCAAACGCGAAAAAGGAACAGCTAAAGCTTCTCAATAACATACCTATTGTCAGCTTCTTGTCCCTGCAGCCAGTGTCCCAGACGGCCATCTGTCCTTTCGCACTTTTGGCGGAGGACATGCCGAGGCCATTGACGGTTCGAGTGCGAAGACTTTGAGCACGCCATCGAGGGGAAGTACATTGTTTCCAATCTGGGGCAGATTCGCCCCATCATCGCAACAATTGAAGATTCCGCACTACCGCTTCCAGGGTTCGTGAATCGATGGGATGTGCATGGTATCGTCCCCAGCGAGGACCACGCCAGGGCCGCTATCGGAGACAAAAGCTAGATCGCAGAACATGGAAAGCACACTCTTCAACTTCAGGTCTCACCAATGTGAGGGCGCTTGTTTCACTCCTATCGAATAGAGCAATGAGGGGGCTCTTGTGTATATTATGGACGGAAAGCTAGAGAATCAGGTATGCAGGAGTCGGGATGATTGAGGCTGTTCATGGCAGGCTGTTGAGATAGGAAACGAGACACCTACATAGTACACGATGGAATCGAATATTGGGCGAGTGCCAAGCCCGACGCCACGGGAAAACTGAATTACTTTTTTCCGGTATTCGAGACGCGCCTTCACCGTCAATAAAGACTTGTCACCTGCAATTGCTCGTCTGTCGATACATCTGGTCTTCTATGTTGAAAATCATGGCCAGACACCAAATATCCGCTCTCTCCAGATGGCGGAGCAGAATATCTTAGGCTTGGACGGCATCCACAGCTCCGCTCTTTGATCCCAGCGGTACCGTTGAAGTGCCATTCTCTTCTTCCTTCTCCTCTTCAGCAGGCAGTGTTTCCTCCTTGTACACGTCGTACTGATATTTGGCTCCTTCGTGATCGTGTCTGAGCCCCTTTTGACCTTCTCCGTATACTTTTTCGCGAGCCGTCAAGGGTTCGGCTTCAGCTGCCCTGGCTTCTGGATACAGGCCACGACGTCTCAGCTCGGGAATCAACAGGTCAACGACGTCCTCAAATGTCCCCGGCGTGGTCACATAGGCGAGGTTGAATCCGTCAAGGTCCGCTTCTTTGATCCATCTTTCCATCTCATCCGCAACCTTCTGTGGAGTACCAACACCCACGGGCCCAAGGCCACCAATTGCAGCTTTTTCAGCTACGACCCTCGGCGTCCATCTCGGCACGTCAGGGCTTGTTGTTGTAAAAGCGTCCAGCATGCTTCTTACTTTATGAGCCTCTGTGGAATCTGCAGCAGTGATGTCCTGATCAAGGGGGATCTTGGAAATATCGATCCCAGTCCAACCAGAGAACAGCACGAGCCCGCCAATCGTGGAGGCATATTTCTTCGCCTCGGCGAACTTCTCTTGGGCCTCTTCTTCGGTTCGTCCGATAATTGGAGTGAATGTGCCAAAGAACTTGATCGATTGTGGGTCGCGCCCTTTCTCTTTGGCAAGTTGCCGAATCTTGTCGATCTTGGGCCTGAGCACTAGCGGACTATGTGAAGAGACAAAGATTGCTTCCGCGTGTGTGGCGGCGAAAGCAGATCCTGCGGGTGAAGTGCCAGCCTGGAAGAGAAAAGGTGTTCGCTGAGGTGAAGGATCCACAATATGTCGAGAGTCGAGGTTAAAATATTTGCCATGGTGATGGATCGTTCGCACTTTGTCTGGGTCGATATACGTGTCCGCTTCGGGATCGGGGGCGAGCGCGTCATTCGCCCACGAACCCTCCCAAAGCCTTGGGAACGGAATGTTAGCAGCCATACCAGTTAACCAGCGTGATCTGAAGTAATGACTTACTTGTACAGGACTCTCAGATACTCGTCAGCCTGCAGGTACCGCTCATCGTGGTCAATGGGGTTGTCAAGGCCGATGGCCTTGAATGCTGCCTTTTTCCATGATGTCACAATATTCCAGCCAATACGTCCATTGGTGAGATGGTCGAGAGTCGAGAAGCGCTTCGCCAGCAGGAATGGAGGCTCAAAAGACGTCGAGGCAGTGATGCCAAACGCGAGGTTCTTTGTCACTGCCGCCATTGCAGAGATTGGCTGCGGGTTTCACAGTCAGTTGCACATTATGACATCCACCGGATGGATTTGCTGACGCCAAACAACTTACAATTGTCGGATCCGTCATGGGCCATTGTGCAGCGCGTCGGATGCAATTGTCGAGGCTGTCCTCGTACGTATCATATCCGCCATACGTGTCGGCGAGAAACAGTGCATTGATATCGCCACGTTCAAGAATCTTCGCAAGTTCAATCCAGTAATCGAGTTTCCTCTTTGTTGCAGACTTGTCCTTTGGATTCTGTACATGGTTTCAGCTCCATTGGACTCTCCAGGGCATATCTCATGTCCTCGACTATCGAGATGCTTGTCGAGAACCTACTGACCTTCCATTGACCAGGCGAAAGATGACCCACGGTCGACATATCGAACGCGTTGAGCAGGATTTGCTTCTTCACTGGCTCATGAGAGCCATTGATCCCTGGGACGGAACCCATGTTGATGCCAGCTCAAACAACGACGTCAAGCAAACCAGTGAGAGATTTGGTCTGCCAAAAATCGGCGCGTTGTCAAGAGAATGCTATCTCCAAGTCTTCGGACCGCGTCCGGTCTCGCACTGACTGCAAGAGGAACCACTGAACCCCCAAGCTGAGGCGCATATTCATCATCAATCTCCTCCCTCTCTTCCTCCCCACAACAGAATCATCGGTTCCGGGTCGCAACATAACTTGCAAAGAACACCAGCACAGCTGATGTCAGTTATTGGTACGGGTCTTTCTCCGCCCTGCAAACAACACTTTGAGCGGGTGCTATGGCGTGATTTTAGGTCCGATGCCATGATACCACGTGAACACTGTTTAGTTGTTCGCTTGGAGCCCACACATCATGGCGGCCATGCGATAAGGAAAAATACTGGAAGAGCTAACTACATAGGTACTTAACGAGCCAGTCTCGTGCAAATAGATAAGGTGGTTGCCTCGTTTTTAGAGCAACGCAGACAGGGTTCGCGGGTTTTGAATGGCACGTCGTATTGTTTCGTCATTTGTATGTTACGAGTCGGAAAGTTCTGTGGGGCGAATACAAAACATTCCAGCGGACATTCATGCCAACCTATTCACCAGAAGGGCGCGTACCAATACTACATGCCCACGACCATCAAAACCACCTCCACTGCAGACTTTCCCTCTTGACGGCATGTGGACAGGACACAGATAGACCATGATCTCCGTGGCCGTCATTATGTTACTACATCGGTCTTGGACACTGGGATTTCGTTCGATTCGAGCTATCTACTCCCATCGGACTGCATGATAGCCGAGTCTAACATCCATATACGTACCGAGATCTTAGAAAACACAAAAGGGATCCAAACACGCTACATATCTGCTCAAGCTTCCATCACCTTCTCAGAGGACAGCTGCTGGATTAGGTGAGGAGCGTCGTCGGCCGGCGACTCCAGAGGCTCTGTGGACAGATTGCTGCGGAAATAGTTTTCCTCGATGTCCTCGGCAGGAAGTCTGGTAAAGAATAATTTCTTGGGCGTCAGCGTACGTTATGGAAATCGTCAAACTAAAATCCAGGAGGAAGAGGGTGAGAAGAGAAAACGATGGCCAACTTGCCGTACCTTCGCCTCTTGATGTACCACGAGATCCAGTGTGCGAACAGGATCAAGCAGACGGCGTTACCGAGCACGAACGGATAGCCCTTGACGAACCTGGGGGCTTCGACCGTCTTGAATACCAACAAGGGCGTCCACGCCGTCGTGGACTGCGCCACCGTGTTGATCAGCACCAGCGTGAACGATCGCTCGGCGGGAGAATATCGGAGCTGCGTGTTGACCCATCCGTAGAGTACGCTGGACATGGCGACGGCCGAGTAGGTGGTCATGAAGGCGAACCACAGCGCCGACTCAGGTACGTCCCATATCACGAGGATGATCAATCCAATACTATTCCAGACGTGGGCGACCGTGATCGCCCACGCGGGACCCCAGAGGAGGTCCGAGGAGAAACAGACGAAGAGGACGTAAAAGATGCCCAAGGCCGGGGAAATGGCCCCGAGCTGGTTCAGACGCCCTGCTGAGTACCGCTTCAGACTCTTGAGCCACAGCAGATATCCGCCCGTCGACGTGTTGATGCTTCCGTTCCAGAAGAAGATGTCGAGCAGCAGAAAAGCCCACACTTGCCAGGACACGGCCACTTTCTTCAGAGTGCCAAACGTAAACTTGCCAGATGTTGCGTGCCCGGTGCGTTGAAGGCGCTTCTTCGCGAGAACGAGATCATGTTCCTTGAGGAACAGTCGGTTCGGAATATCTGGAGTCCCAGGAAGGAGAAAGTAGCCTAGGAAGCCGACGGGAATGGTGATCAGAGCACAGATGATGTACCTGTGAAGCTGGGTTTAGACATTCCTCCAAGCCGCTGCAGACGAGTGCTAACTTACATCCATCGCCAGCCTGCCAAACCGGCGACCCCTTCCAACTGCTCTGAAGCCGCGGACTGCAGGAGCGCTGCAGTAAGTGTTCCCAGAGTCAGGCCAACATAGAAGAAACCGCCACGGCGAGCGATTTCATTTCCACGATACCACGAGCCAAAGATGAAATGGACCGCGGGGAAATACGCAGCCTGTCACGTACTTAGTAACGGACTTGACAACAGCGTGAAGATGGGCATTCCCCTGACCTCGAACCAGCCCACCAAAAAGCGGTATGCCATCAATTCAGCATAGCCATTCACCCGATATTGCAGCAACGTGAAGATCCCCCAGCAGATGTCGAGCAAGGGGACTAGCCAGTGCATTGGTATGCGAGTGAAGAGGAACAGGAACGGAACCTGACCCAGAACGGCGCCCACAACGTAGATGGTCTGGACATGTACCAGTTGGTTCCCGTTGAAGCCCTGCAGAGATGTTAGAGGTTTGTAGTGACAAGATTGAAGAAACAGATCCAAAAACCACTCACCAGATCTTCCTTGAGACCCGCGACATATGCATTGTCTAACCCTCCATTAGCACACCATAGCCAAGCCTTTCAATGTGTATCTCACTAATGTTTGCCTGATCGATGTACTTGACCCAGTACGCAAGAAACACATACGGCACAATCAGCAGATCGAGTTTGGTGATGAGCTTGCGTTCCTCTTTGGTGTCATCTGGAGAGAACCAGTGGATTTGGTACCACTTTCGAGATGCTGCCGTCTTCTCCATATCAGATCAGGGCTTTTCAGATCATGCAATGCCTACTCGTGTAATTTACCTACCCTTGTCGAACGCCTCGGGGGGAATTTCCTTCATATAGAAGGGAACAATCGTGACCACTCAGGAATGATCCGACAGCTCAGCATCGTGTCCGCTCTTGACGACATGTCCCAGTGGAATGGCGAATCCTGTACCCTCGAGGGCTAACTCGACCGACGAATTCCCTTTCTGTTAGTTGCATTTGCCATGAGATGGGGTTCTAGACTTTTTGGCCGTCGGTGTGTGTTCGTGGAAACATGGATCTGGCTGCCATGGATTACGCTCTCCACCTCGTAACGTCGTGTAAAAGTGCCGGGTCACGAGTGCGGGCGACGTTGGGAATGAAAAACAGAAAAAGACAGAAAATATCAAATGTTATCGTGTCGTCAAACTCCGATTGTTTGCGCTTACACGATGGTGTCAATTAGTGGGTCGTGTTCGTGATGGTTCCATCTCTCTACCTGGCTCGACATCATTCCAATGGAGAACGCGAAACGTTGCACAAGTGAGGATCCGGGACAGCAACCACGGACAAAACTCGCAAATGCTGCAGCAGCAGATAAACGTGGACGTTAACCAAGTCTCGTTTCGTTCCGGTGCTGGGCAAAGGAATCGAAGAGACGCGAACAGGAGCGCCCTTTTGAGAATGGCCAAAGTCGACGTTATAGATCCATTCCCTGTCAACGCGGTCAACAAAGGGGAACCCAACAACCCGCGATATCTTGAACAGACGCAGTCAACGCCGAGGCTGAAAGACGCTGTGGTGGCCGTACAAGAGAGCAATGCTACTCCAGCCTTGAATGTTGTTGCAGCAACCGTTGAGGAGACAGCAGAGAGCGAGACACATCCTGGGGAACGCCCTGCCAACATCCTCCATGAAGCATATCCCAAATCAAATCTGCAACTTCCTGATCACCACATCGACGACGCAAGAAGTCTGAAAGTTGTCATTATCGGCGCCGGGCTCTCTGGCATTCTTGCAGGGATCCTGCTGCCGGTTAAAGTGCCGAAGCTGGAACTTGCCATCCTCGAGAAGAACGACGATGTGGTACGTTTTGTTGCAAAACTTGGCTTCCCTCGTCTCAGTTTGCTGACCCACCGGTGCTGTAGGGAGGCACATGGCTGGAGAATATATATCCGGGTGTCAGATGTGATATACCCGCACATGTCTATCAGTCGACCTTTACTCCATATACCCAGTGGTCGCAACAGTTTGCTGAAGGCCATGAAATTCTGGGGTACTGGCAAACTCAGGCTCGAAAGTACGATGTATACAAGTACGTGAAGTTTGCCCGTCGTGTTCAGGATGTTAGCTGGAGCGATGAAGAGGCGCAATGGACCATTGCCGGAGTGAATCCTAAGACGGGGGAGACGTTCGAAGAAAAAGCAGACTTTGTCTTGCCGGCGATAGGTCGCTTCAACGACTGGAGGCTCCCTGCTTATCCAGGAGTGTCAGACTACCAAGGACACCTTCGACATACTTCCAATTGGGATCCGTCGTTTGATCCCACGGGGAAGAAGATTGCCATCATCGGCAATGGAGCCAGCGGCATTCAGGTGCTGCCAAATCTGCAGCCGATCGCGAAACACATTGACCACTACGCACGGAGCAAGACCTGGATCGCCGGCTCTTGGGCAGGCGACGAGCGCACCTTCGAGCCCCAGTGGTATTCGGAAGAGCAGAAGAAGGAATTCCTCGACCCCGAGAAATATCTGAAGTTCCGGAAGGAGTTGGAAGACAAGTACTGGCGACGGTTCGCGTCGACCTTTCGCGGCTCCGAAGAGAACCTCAAGATGCGAGAGCAATTCATCGAGATCATGACGCGGAGGCTGGCGAAGAAGCCGGAGCTGCTCGATCTCCTGGTCCCGGACTTCAACCCAAACTGTCGTCGCCTCACGCCGGGACCGGGATACCTCGAAGCCTTGACCGCCGACAACGTCACGTTGATCCAAGATCGCATCAAGCGCTTTACTGCCACTGGGATCGAAACCGTGGATGGCCAACATCGTGAGGTGGACGCTATTCTCTGCGCCACGGGTGCCGCCGTTGACTTTATCCCGCCCTTCAACGTGCGTGCTCGAGGAGTGAATCTTCGAGAAGCCTGGAAGCCGGTCCCTCCGGGAGAAAAGGTCGACGATGCGAGCCATTTCGGCTGGCCGTACACGTACCTGGGCCTCGCCGTCCCGAACATGCCCAACCTCCTGTTCATCCACGGTCCTCACGGCGCCGGCCCATCAGGGACCGTGCCGCATAGCGTCGAGGTCCAAGTCACGTACTACGCCAAACTGCTCCGAAAGGTCTCGACGCAGGGCATCAAGGCCATGTGGCCGTCGAAACGAGCGGCGGACGACTTCGTCGCCTATGCCGACGCCTTCTTCCCCACCACGGTGCTGACGGACAACTGCAGCTCGTGGGCCAACGGCGGCAGGCCCGGCGGGCGCGTTCACGGCATCTGGCCCGGGAGCGCAGGGCATGTCACCTTGGTGCGAAAGGAGCCGAGGTGGGAGGACTGGGAGTATGAATACTTGCACCAGAGTGGCAACCGGCTCATAGGCTGGTTTGGGAATGGTTGGACGAAGAAGGAAAAGGACAGCAACGAGGACATGACGGCCTACCTGGAGCTCGAGGGCACGGTGGATCTAAGACTGTTGCATGAGAAATGGTGGGAGTAAATGTAGTTTGCCGTGATAGAGAGGTTGGAATATAGAGGCCGAGGCCGAGAACTTACAACTAAGATTTGATCCGTGATTTATTTTAGCTCTATGTATGTTTTTGGGAAACGCTATGCCACAACTGTTCGGGGACAGCAGCCCCGATCTCTCTGGGTCCATCTGTTCACTTGATCCTGACAACCAGCCTACCGCCACTGACTTCACCCCGCCGCATTGAGTCCAAAGCGTCATTGATGGCCCCAAATCCCTCCCTCACTCCCAAGATGGTAGGAGGTACCAAAAGACCTTGTGATAGCAGTCGCTCGAGCCAGAGCATTAATATCTCCCCTAATTCCGGGATCTCGTGGAAGATCTTGATCGGCACCGTGTGGAAGACGACATTAGCTGGCGGCGATGCTTTTGGCAACCCGGTAAGTCCTACCAGATGTGCTGATGGAAGGGCAGCATCGGTTCCCAGTGTCGGTGGGGTTTCCAGGTCGTTGTTGATTGATGCGGAAGACTGTTGCAAGCATTGCATCAAGTGCTTTGCTGTGTCTCGGCCGACCGTGTCCACGGCAAATCGGAGACTGTTCTTTGTCACGGACCTTGCGATCTCGATGGCTCTCCCAGGGTCGTGGTTGTCAACCACAATATCCGGTTTGGTTCTCGAATCGGAGGACACACTCAGGGCATGTTTGCGGCAGTCCATGATGCTGATTGTCCGTAGTCCCATAAGCCTCGCTATCTGATTCAACATGAAAGCACTGGTAGAAGAGCCTCCCCAGATTGCGAGCCAGTCACCCGGTTTAGCCTTCTCAGCCTCGTTGATCCCATTCAAGCACTCTGACCTGATGTCCTCCGGAAGCCGCTGGGGGTCCAGTCCTGTCACTATGGAAAGAAGGTCCGGTCCGTGTGCCACTTTGGAGAAGTCGAGTCCAGTACAAATACCGAGACAAAGAGCTGCAGCGACGAAGGCCACGCCGAGCGCAGCTCCTGACTCGGGGGCAATATTTGGTGGTAGGCGGCAAGTGTTGAAATCGGTGGCCACAACGCATTGCTGGTAAGCAGCTTTGCGGAGATCCCGGTAGTCCGTGGAGATGACAATGACCAAGTCACCAGGCCTGAACCGCGACTCCCGTCTCGGACTTATAGCGACCTCTCCAACGAGTTCGCGACCTGATATATAAGGGAGTTGTGGAATACCGAAATTGAAGTCCCTGATGTATGTCAGTACACCAGTTGCTCGATGAATTGAGGGGTTTCTTTACGGTGCCTTCCAATCGATCGGGTTGAGGCCAATCACCCTATTCCAGACCAGAAGTTCTCGGTTATCCAAAAGTGACGGGATCGGATGGTCTAGCACTTCTGCGTAAGGCTGCTTGGGACCATGGAGCAAAAGGGCACGCTGCTGCGTGGAAATGCTGGGTAACGACGAAGATGACGATTTTGACGATGGGTTCTCAATCTCTTGGACGGGAAATTCAACAGCGATGTCTTTGGCCGTGCTTGTTGTTCTCAGGGACCGGAAGAATCGAACGAACCCCATGACTGATGTAGGGCGAAACGGTTGTGCTGTTCGGCCCAAAATGCAAGATATGCAGTCTGCCAGATCTTGAAGTCACCCCAGGGCTCGAGACAACTAAACTGAAAAGCAAGTTCGGATAAGAGCCACTCCAGGCATATCATGGTAAGCAATATCGGTACGAGTCTTGTAAAGACTCTGACACGAGATTTTCAGCCCTCGGTGTTTTGAGGATGCAGGTATCGTGTACAGCCTGGTAAGTAAGGAAGGGGGTTATCCGCTTACCTGTACAATAATATTTTGCGCAGGGTCCTTCATGCTGGGATTGACCAAGAGTATGTCGTGCTCAGACATCATGGTCGCAACATAATTCATTCCTCGTGGATTCTTGATTGGGGTTCCACACGAACATGTCCGCTTGAAATCCACCAGAGGATCTTTTCCGCTCGAGTGGGCAAGCTTTGACACAAACAGGAAGGGCGTTTTTCTTCTCTCGACTTAGGTTTGGCTCGAGCAGGCTGGCCAAGCAACAAGGTCGATAACGAGAGGACGCAGCTTCTCCACTTGGATCCCTTCCAGAAGCATTTCGAGAGGCTAAATTGGGAAAAGTGCGGAAATGGTTCTCGTATTGCGTGCTACCGAACACAATGACGCGATCGAGTTTCTCTGTGCAACAGTCAGCATCGCACAAATGACCGGATGCGTGGATCAAGGATATGGTTTGGCCGAGAAGATGCTTTTATGTTGACCTCCATCACCCTTGGAAAGTCTGCGCAGATGTCAAAGCATTGAGGTG